AAAGTGAAAGCTGTATATTACCCATGTATCAAATTAGAAACTGGATTATTTCCCCTGAATTGACTTTTGATATTAGGTAAACCAAAATATATAATATAGTTTATTTGGTATTATGCCGAAACTACTGCAGTCCATATGCATGGACTGAATTATGTAGTAAGTGTCAAATACCCCATTGGGGATTATGTTTCAGCATAATCATTAAAGACACGGAAGGAAATGTGTATAAAAACTAGAAAGAGAAATCATCAAAATGTCAGTATGAAAATGTATAGTATATCAATCACCATGTGCAAATTTTCCACTGGTAGTAAGTTATAATAGAAAAACAAAAAAAATGTGAAACTATCCAAAGAAGTTGTGATGGCTCATAGATACTTGATTACATGTTTGTTGAATGCTATCACTTATTGGCTATAGTAAGGAACATTATATAAGTTATATCACAATGTTCATAAAATAATTTGAGGAATAGCTGCTTCTTTAAAAACAATCAAGGGAGGAGTAATAGACACAAAGACCTTTATGCAAAAAACGTGTTGAGGCTAAAGAGCACCAGAAGAAAATGTACTGTTTACATACAGGGTGGGGCAAAAGTTTCACAGTTGTTCATATGGAAAAATAATACAATAATTAGTAAGAATACAAGAATAAGCCCTGTGTTTCACGTACTCACAACTGTAAACCTTTGGCTGCCCCATCCCGTATATAGAATGTTACATTAATCAGGTTACCATTATAGTGGCCCAATAATGAAACATGCCCTTTTGGTGTATTAATCTAAATATATATCTCCTTACTAACATACATCTTTCTATCTAGATTTTGTCCCCTAGTTTATCAAACTGTTGACACATATACTCATTGCAAAGCTGCACTTGGTGCCATAAACTGTGTGTGTGTGTGTGTGTGTGATAAACTTTTGATATTTCCTTCCATCATGCAAACGAGAGGAAGGTATTGATATATAATAGAACATTAATGAGCATTAGTATGATTTGTTTTGAGTGCCCCTCAGTTTTTGGATGTTACAAAAATTTTAATTACATTTACTATAAAGCAAAGCTTGAGGGTTGAATCTGATGCCATTTCCCAGTGAAATAAAAACTGTCAATTTACGTCAACTTTTCAATATTTAATGTGATACCTGGATGCAAGTGAATTGGTCTGCAACTTTAGAGCTCTAAACGACTTACTAGGTGTTTACACGCATTTCAAGTTACAGCTACGGCCCTAGTAACATTTTGTGAAACTCACAGCAGAACCAAAATTATGGGAAACAAGGAAGATGCTGCTTTAAACTCATTACTTAAAAACCCACAGTATTAACACAGAAACATGGTGCAAACTGGGGTAAAAAACTGCCTTTTCTATAATATTGTTTCAAATGTTTCTTCAATAAGCATGCTCATCAAGATTAATTTTTTAAATTGGTATGTCTTCTTTGATTGATTTGTGGCAAAAATATTTATAAAAATATACACAATATAGTTATAAGATTCAAACTCTAACTAAAACTAGAAAAGACTAACATAATAGTGAATAATATAGTGAGTGGTATTTTCTTTAACACAATTTACTTTCATTCATTACCAGAACTAGTACAAATCAGTGGTCAGCCAAAGGTAAATTTGCACAATTTTCCCTTGTGCAAAGCAGAAATCTATGGAGTGTTAACAAGTTTAGAAACACACAATTACAAATTACCTAAAGTACTGATAACTCCATTTCTCCGTGTTTCTAAGTTATTAGTAAAAAATGGTTCCTTTATTAACTGAGTGTTAAATTTAAAATAATCATATCATACTAATTTTAGAATTTTCTAAAATATGACACTTTATATTATATTTGCATGCCATCGAAACAGTTGCTTAATAAAATATAAAATGCCCATTGACATTTGAGGCCATTGTTAACATTTTTCTTCAACTAGTTTTTAAAACTTAATTGAAATGGGTGCACAGGTCTTTAAGTAAAGCCTTGAATACAGTTGATAGATTAAACTGTCTTTTTTGATATCGGCAAAACTCCAAATATAAAAGAAACTGTACATTTAATAGTAATTTGCTTTTGAACTTTTTAATTTAAATTTTATTAATTTTTATGCTAACTGTGCTTACATCTATCATTTATGCATATTATTTCTTACATATTGATTTATCTTAAAATAAAATGTTAAAGTCCATAATGATATTCTGGTTGCCGTTTTATAAATAAAACATGCAATAGCAGTTTAAATTTTAACAGCTTATATAATCTACTACATTTCTGCATAGTCAAACTTGTATTTTTCAGCATTTCTTAGCTTATTTTTCAGTATAAACATGAAATACTTTCCTTGGAAAATAATATACAGTATTGTGGCTTTATGGCTCCCATTTGGATAATGACAAACTTTTTTTTCTAAAGTCATTGGAACAGATTTTGCAGTGATACAACAAGGAACAGTCTTTCAGCTATGCAAAGTTAGTCTAGAGACTGTATTTTACCACACTTTTTAAAAATTTGCAGGTTCAATTATGGGGAAACAAAAAAGTTATGTCATCCAATGACTTTATTCTGCTTTTTAAATTATATATACTGTATTTTTAGATACATTCCATATATTTTATCTAGTTTTTCTTAACAATCACAAAGTTATAGTTATAAGGAAACTTTCAACACCTCACCTATTTAGAAACTAAATTTTATACATTTTATGTATTTTTTCTCTTAGTAACTACAGTTAAATTTATAAGGAAACTATTTTCAACACTTCATCTGTTTGGATACTAAATATTCATAGCTGTCAATAATAGCTAGTAAACTCATTTCAAAATTGCCATTTTTCTTTCTCTACCAAGGGCATTCTCTTTTTCATGAAAGGATCACTTCAACTTTTCTGAGTCAAAGGCCATTGGTCTTTTCCCTCTCTAACAAGGATTTCTCTTTCTCTACCTGCCAAAAAACCTCTTCAGGTTCTGAAGTTGATCCCAGGGCATGGCTCAGATGTGAGTTCTTGTAACTCTTCATAGAAATGATCCCCAGGAATCTTGATTTAGATCAAGAGCACACATTTAGATGTAGATTAATGCTACTCTCTAGCATCTTTCTTATTCCTATTGCTCACAAAACTGCCACATCCTTGACAATTTGGCTAACCCAAACTGCCTTTCTTTGGCAAAGGTCCCTGAAGACTCAGTCTAATTTGCCATTAAGTAGTTGCGAAAGTTCTAATGAGAGTAACTGGTTCTAAGACATATTTCCACAATGATTCTGATATTAATTTACTACCGTGTCCCAAGTTAATAGAGTAAAAATACTATTTCTTGAGTATAACAGTAATTTTTAATCTCAATTATGTTGATGTGAGTGTTTTACTTAATACAGTAAGTCTCAAGTACAACCCACACAGCTTTTAAGAACTTACCCTTCACTTTGACTTCAAACAAAAGGCAAGGTGACAGCAGTTTGTAAACTGTGAAATCCTATCAACGTATATACACCTCTACTACCATGAAAAAATGATTTGGTTCCACTGAAATTTGGCATTAATGATACAACTTAACATATTAACAAAATTTAGAACATTTCTGTTTGCTTATTCTAAATCAGAAGATTATGGTTTCAGTTTCAGGTTCAAAAACTCAAATATTAGAAAACATCAAGGAGCCAGCTGAGTCTTGAAAAAAATACTTGTAAACTTTAAAACTTCAAATTTTAGAGTCAGGAGAGAAACCTGGATAAGAGTATTCCTGGCCCCTCCCTGAGAAAATTTTAGTCTACTTCAATGATCAAAATAAAATCAAAACGGAACTAAACTTCCAGGCCTAGCCAGAAACAAGGCTATTGTGAAACAACTCTTAAGATTTACACAGCAAAAAACGATTAAGACGAAAACAAGCAAGACAATGTTGTATACCATGATGGGGTTGAAATGCAGGACTGATGCCTCTTTCCCCGGAAGAGACCAACCTGAACAAGGGCCCCCAGCTTCTCTGGAACTCTCCAAAATCTCATCTATGAACAGATCCTTTAGTCGCTAGGACCTCTCCAGACACCAGCATAGCTGGCTGCCAGAAGGAAACACAGCTCGGGTGTGATCAGAGTACCAACAAATGGAAAGCCACAGGGGATTCACCAGATAAAAAGAACGTGTGTTGTAGGTGCAGCAACTATCAAACTTTTAAGAGAAGTCCAGCAGTCTCCGGTCAAGTCCTAGGGCCACATAAGAAACTCAGGATGTGACTGGGAAATCATGCCCTATCTTATTTATCACAAAACTGATCTGGCCCTACTTCCTCCATCCATGCACCCAACACACTTTCCCTGAAACTTCCAAACCAAAGAAGCCTCCGACAGAAGCAGTCTCCAGGAACCTCCAAATTCCTAGTGAAACCTGACCTCTTTGTAAAGCCTCCCGGAAGAACAAAAGATCAAATGAGACCGGCTCAGCGGGGTCTTCCCGATGTGACCCCGGAGTTAACATATTTATTTTCACGGTGCAACTGCTGGTTGCTTTACATAGACATTTCATGCTGTAGCTCTGCATGGAGCTGAGGACAAAAGTAACATTTTTATTAATGTTGTAATTATTATAATTATTCTTTAACAAAGGTATTAAATAACCTGTACAAAGCCCGGCCCTGTCCTAACAAAAAACCCAGCACTATTTCAACTCTCCCAAGGTCCTTCCGCTTTAATTCAGCAGCGTTCCCTATATACAAGGTCACCAGGGTAGTCCTCCCAAACCGTAGGTCTCCCAGAGGGTGGGAACGGTTCTGAGACTGAAACTGCCCTTTCGTGATGCAGAGCTCCCAACCCTACCTCCCCTGCTCCTCCCGGGCACAGGGTTCCTGTCCGCAGGCCGGGCCAGGGAAGCTGGGAGGTAAGCAACAGGAAAGGACGACTGCCTCTGTTGGGTCTCCCCTCTGCCAGCTGCCCATAGCCCCCCACCCCCACCCCAAAGAGGTGCTGGGGAGTCCGAGGTGCGAAAGGCCTAGAGTCGCCCCCGGGTGGGCTCACAAGTCCCGCGGGTCCTCCCTCTTGACCCCGGCCTCAGCAACTTTGAGCTTCTTATTCTGGTGCGTCTTGACATGCTTGGCGAGATGGTCGCTGCGCATGAAGCGCTTGCCACACTCGGGGCAGGAGAAGCGCTTCTCGCCGGTGTGAGTCCGCAGGTGCCGCTGCAGCTCGTCAGAGCGCGTGAAGCTCTTCCCGCAGAAGAGCCAGTTGCATACGAAGGGCCGCTCGCCCGTGTGCCAGCGCAGGTGCGCCTTCAGGTGCGACGTCTTGCCGTACACCTTGCCGCAGCCCGGCACGTGGCACACGTGCTGCTTCTTCTTGCCCGGCTCTGCCTCGGGGGCGCCGCCCGCCGCCTGGCAGTTGGGGCAGCGGCAGCGGCGGCACCTCCTGGCCGTGGCCGCCAGGGGGGCCTTGGTCTGCAGCAGCGCGGCTATCTGGCTCTGGTACTGCGCAAAGTCCGACGGGCCCAACACCAGGCCTCGTTGCAGGGCGGCGGCGGCCGCGGCGGCGGCAGCAGCGGCTGCTGAGGCAGGGAAACGGGGCGCGTGGGGCCCGCCGGCACAGGCGCCTGACAGGCTGCCCCCCGGAACCCCGGAGCTCCCCGGACCGGTGCCCGCCTGCGGGATACTCCACCATGGGAGGTCGTCGGGGGCCGGGTTGGGGGACAGCTGGCGGCACGTGGGAGGCGGTGGCGGCGGCGGCGGGGGCAGCAAATTGGAGTAGCCGTGCGGCAGCGCGGCCTGGGCCGCGTAGGGCACGTAGGCGGGCGCGCAGCTGGCGGGCAACGCCGCCATGCTGGAGGGCAGCATCTTGACCGGTGAGAACTCGTAGGGGTACGAGGGGTCGGCAGGGGGGGTGAGCGGCAGCTCGTGCGCCGCCCCGAAGGAAGGCTGTAGGTGCGTTTTCTGCGGCGTCAGCCCCAAGCTGGGGTGTGGGGGCGGCAGCGCGCCCGGCGAGTGCGCCGGCATGTCGGCGGTCCACGGGTGGAAAAGCCTGGAGGGCGAGCCCAGTGCTGGGTCGTAGGGCACCTGCAGGAAGTCCGGGGGCGCCGCAGCGCCCGGCTGGCCGATACGGCTACAGGTGGCGGCTAGCAGCGCCAGGGGTGAGTGTTTGCCCAGGTCCGGGGAGGCGCTGGGGGTGCGGTCCTGCATGGGCGGCGGCGGGGGAGGGCGGAGAAGAGACAAAAGGTTAGCGCTCCAAGCGCGGTCTCCAGGCCAGCCCGCTACCCCCACGCCAACTATTATATCGCCGCCCCTCCCCCGTCCCGCTGCCCCTCCCCCGCCACCGCACCCCACGCACGCACCCACCAGTCCCAGGAAACTTTTGGTGCCTGAGCTACCTGCACGCTGAGCGCGAGAGCGCTTCCTGTTCAACTACTGTACTTAGTTCAAAGAGACGCCACCCAGTCTTAGAGAAATCAGGCACAAAGTGGGAGGGGAGAGGGATCCGATCGGTGACTCCCGGCTCCGCGGTCAGAAAGGGCCTGGAAGCACCCGAGACCGACCGCACTGCCCAGACGCCCTCCCTCTCACCTTTTAAGCTGTTTCCACGCTACTCTCGGGCTCCTCCCCTACCCGCCCCAGGCTGAAATCAGCAGGAGGACCCAGCTGGGTGAGCTCGGGCCTTGTTCTCAGCCAGACACACCCCTGTACCACTCCCGGATCCGTGCGACCCTCCCCCAAAGGCCACACTCTTGACACCAAGGTTAGGTGTGAAGTTGGAGTGGGTACCCCTACGTCTGACTCCCGCGGCACCCACTGAGCGGGGCTCCCTTTGAGATTCAGGGTGCACAGAGTACCTGGGGAGAACAACACACGACCCTTCCCACCTTTCCCTTCCCACAGCCCAGCCCTGACCTGGAGGAAGGCCTGTAGTGAGTCGTTCCGGAGTACGGCAACGGCGGCCATGGCTATAGTTTGTGGGCTGTTGGCTGCCCAGCAGGGCGCAGCCGAGGCATGGAGACCCGAAAGCGAGGGCGAACGGCCGCCCAGAGTCCCTCGCCGGCGCCCGCTCTGCGCGCTGTGGCCCTCCCCGCCCGCGCCCCTCGCCGCACCCCACTCGCTCGCCCCGCGCGCGGTCTGAGCGCTTCAGGATCACCTCCAAGAATTTGATAAGGACTTTGCTGGGCCGCCAGCCAGTCAGAGGGAAGATTTATGGCTTTGAAGTTTGCCGCTACCCAATCATCAAAGAATAGCGGCTCTTTCAGAAGCGAAAGCAAATCCTTTGAATCCACAAAGCTCCTATGGTGTGTTTGTTGGTCTGGATAAAAGAACTGATTATTAGGGGGGATGGGAAGGGAGGAGATAAAGGCGGGACAATTAATGAAGTAATCACTATGTGGGAAATGTATATACACAAATAATTGGATTTTCCTGATCAAAGGGGGCCTTGCCGCCTGGAGACCCGCGCTTGGTTTCTTGAGACACTCTATCCCCCTCCCCCCACTGCCTTGCAATTAAAGATTTGCACCGAGGCTGCGCCTAAAGTGACAAAGTGTCTTTGTTATCTTCAGAGAAATCTGCCTCCGGCTTCCAAGCGCAGACTTTGAGACGGAGATGAGGGCAATTCTCCCCTCCCCAGTACTTACACACTTCACGCCGGAACAGCGTGTGCACACCGCGGACCCGAGGGAATTCCCAGGGCGGGGTGTGGGATGTACCTCGCCCCGCCTGCCGCGTGCCCCCCTGCCGGTCTCCGTGAAGCCGCGGGCTAGGCTGTGACCCGGGGCGGGGCGGGGCCGGGCGGCCGCCCAGGGAGGCAGTGGGTGGCGCGCACACTTCAGGGCCGCCCGCCTGACAAGCGACTAGAGCTCTCTTGTGACGTCCTTACTGGCAACTTGGAAGTTTTCTCGGGCCACAACTTTTGCAAATAGTGAGCCTGAGAAAAAACACCCCTGCTGCGTTTAATCCCAAAGTCGTTTGGCAGGACACCCAGAGCAACCCAGAATATACACCGGAGGGAAGAAATGCTCTTCTCTCTCCAGGCGGCAGCCCTGGACCATATAGAGGGAGGAGGCTGATCGCTGTTAGGCCCCACCGAAAGCCCCAGCGATGCTGGCAGTTGTCCCCCTGAGCCCAGCCAAACCAGTGCACGCTCTTGCAAGCCTCACAGACCTACCAAGGAACTACTCAAAAAAAGTATGGCGCGGCAGAGGAAGCCTTTTGTTGTTGTTGAACAAACTGCAATAGTAGATACCAGGTCAAATAGTCCTCTAATCGGAAGGAGGAGTCAGTACAAACGGTTGTTCTCGTCACCTTTGGAGACGCGGGGCTGTGCTTCGCCTGGGTCAGGGAAATGCTCACCAGGGTGTCCACCCCCTCCCCCAAACTCTCGCTGGCCCTCCACGCCCTGTTGGGGAGGCACAATTGGCCACCTGCCTCCCTCTGGCCAGGAGTGCAAAGCGGGTCCTGCAGGGATTTTTCGGACACCGGAATCTCCCCTCTTGGAGGGAGAGGAAGAAGAAAAAGGCGGGTGGAGAACCGCACTGCACTGGAGGGGATTAGGGGCCCAGAAGAGCCTCTGAGGCCTCCAGCCGGCAGCCGTGGCTCCTGGGCCTGGCGACCCGGCTCCAAGTCCGGCCTCTCCTCTCTCCCAGGCCGAGGGCAGTGTCGGGATCTCCCGAACTGTCTCTCACCCGGCCTTCCTGCGTGTCATCAGCGACCGCAATGCCGGCTGGACTGACGTGAGAGGACGGACCGAGTGACCTAATTCCAACGGGCTTCTGATTCTGAGTCTGGGCTGTAGCACATTGGTACCTTTGAATTTACCAAGAGATCTGGACGCTACAACACTAGGCACCCATTTCCACACGCCCAGGGCCCGTCAGTGAAATAGAAACATCTTGCTTGAGACGAATGGGCCGCAAGTGGCCCAAATACTACGAGCACTTTACACGCTCCGTCCTCGCACGCCCCCCTTCTCTCCAACAAGGGGTCACCCCGGGAACTCTGAGCAGTAACCACACAGCTCCGCGACGCAGTCTGGGTCCCGCAGATGAGGTCCGGGTGCTCTGGGAAAGTGGAAGGGGAGGGGACTTAGTGTTTTGATCCGAGACCGGGGAGACCTACCCCTTTCCACGTCCGATCCAGGGGGTCGAGCCCGCGTGAAGCCTGGGACCAGAAGGGGCGGGCGCTTTCCCGTGTGCAAGTCAGAGGCCAGGGAGTCCGGTAGCGCACAGCCGCGCTCTCACCTGTCGGTAGTCGGCCAGCGGGTCTGGTCCCTTATCGTGTTTCCTTTCGCAATCCTTTGAGCTCTTTGACACCCTGTCCACGGGAGGCTGGGCCAGGCATGCTGGAAGGGCATTCTCATTTGCCGAATCTGTTCGCTATTATAACAAAAAGGCAAAAAAGGCCAATCCACTTCTCCTTGGTTGTTATAGGAGAGAACTTTTTCTCTGAGATGCCCCCACTTAGCCAATTAAACCACCACCAGTGGCCAGCAGTGCTAAACAGTGGTGGCTTAGTGGTTAAAAGCTCGGATTTTGAAAAAAAACAAATTTCCACTTTCTAGACGGTAACTTTTGCAAGCAAGTTACTAAGTCTCTGTGTGCCTTAGTTTCCCAACGTGTAAAATGGGGGTTATAGTGCTCACCTGTAGAGTGCTTGTAGGCTTAAAAGATGACGTAATGTATGGAAAGTCTTTAGAACAGTTCTGTGACAGCGCAGTGTAGGCTTTCTTGAGTATTCGAAATCTTTGCTCTTGGCCTCATCTCCATTTGTGAAAACCCACCAGGATTCCAACCCTCCCAAGTCTCGAGCTGAAGCTCAGAGAGACTTTTACAAACTGCTGTTTGGCCTCCCTCCCTTTGCTTTCCGTACTCCTGAAAAACTTATTCTTAATGAAGTAATGTTCGCAGCGACCATTAAAAATGCAATGCTGGGAGATCAAAGTACAATATTTATTTTAGAAATTTGTTGCAATCACCAAGAGATACAGGTATCAAGGCCAAATATCAGTTGCGTTACACAAAGCCCGGCGCCGGGGAAGAGCGTGTGGCTGCTCTGCCATAATGTAAAAAGACATCAAAGACGAAGCGCGCTGCAAAAGTGCGCAGCCGGGAGGGAGGGAGTGAACCCGGGAGGGCCCAGCGCGCTCCAGACGGAGCGGGGGCTGCGGGGGCGAGGGTCAGTTCAAAGCGGTATCCGTTGGAGCGCGAGTTCACTGGAGGGAAGATTTAATGGGCTTTCTTTTGTTGGTGGGTGTGTTTGTGCACCGGAGGACCAAGAAACTCCTCTGTGGTCCTCCAGCCCCAGGGCGGATGTTCGAGGGGGGTAGGGGGTGTGGGGATCAGCGAATAGGAAGCAAACTTTAACCGCGGCACCGCAGGGAGGTGGAATACCAGCCTCTAGACCGCTAGCGCAGAGGAGCCGCACTCCAAGCCGCTCTCCAAGCAGGAGGGCTCTTGAGGTGGGAAGTTTGCCACGCCGTTTCTTCTCGGGCGGGCTGCGAGCTCCGACTGGATGCCACCTGCAAGAAGAGGCGGGTGGGTGAACCCGCAGAGGCCCGCGACGGGTGAACTTGCTTTGTGCTCCCCGCATCCACTCCCGGGGGGAAAAAGTGTTTGCTCAGAACTCTAGGGTTGCTGTTTCGCGACTGAGCCTGGTACCTTGTCTCAGGCATTTTCTGGCAGCAGCTGGGGAATCACGCCTCTGGAATCAACCCAGTAAACCATCTCCTGTTGATTTTTTTTTTAAAAACTACATTATTTAGATTTCAACTAATTCTTACTTCATTGGCTCTTAGAGCAGGGTGTTGCTTAAGTGCCCAGATCTCGCCCTCCTCTCTGCCAAAGCCTCAACCTTCCATTTCCCCGCATCTGCCTACTTAACAAGTACCAGTCGTTGCTTTATTAAGGTGGTGGTAGGAGAGAGGGCAGAATTTCCCTCATGCTAACCGGCCACTGGGTCGCAGGAGGATGCCTGTGCGTTTGTTTCTTCAGTCACTACAACCAAGTATTCTGAAAGCAGTCACTCGGCAGCCCTTTGAAGTCGGACTAGAGCAGAAAGCTCCTATTGTTTTCAGCTCTCGACGTGGAAGGGATCAAACTTTGCCTCTTCAATCTGAAAGATTTTTTAAAATGGTGCGAGTGGGGGAGGGTTGCAATCTCACTCTCCAAATTAACGTTGAGATTTGGAGTTGTCTCCAAGCTTAAGTTGCAGACTCAATCACAGATGCCCTAAATAGGGGCTAGATCATTAACAGGCCTACTGCATTCAGTGGCAAAAAATAAAAAAATACTGAGATCTTTGGAAAACACTGGCTTAGTTTGGGAGCGTTTCCTCCAGAGTTAATTTTAAGCTTAAACTTCAAAATTGAATCAATATAGCATGGATAAAGGAGTGGAATTCTAGATCTAGGAGGATCTTTTTCTTATCTGATTCGATTTCCCCATTTGATGGCAGGAGGAAACAGAGTTTGCATGAAATGTGTCATGCCTGCACAGTGCTGTGAACTTCAGTAGCTGTTCAGTAACTGCTCATCAGTGCTGGTGGTAGAGTGGAATTCTGTGTACCTCTGTCCTTTGCACAGTGATTGGTGCTACAGAGCACACAATGCAGCAGGAACTCAGGAGAGTACTGGTGAGAACTGGAGGAGTTAAGGGAAGTTTATCAAGGAGCTGGGGCTTGGGGGAGCCTTTAAGGACCTATGTGGATTTTAATGGAGTGCATAGAAAGGAAGATAATGGAGGGAGTAAAGGGAATTCGCCTTTCAGTGAGAAGCTGAATCAACATGGAAGATAAAGCTTTACATCTTTGATTTCCTGGTGTAGACAGGGTGGGGCCAGATTAGAGAAGTCAGGAAGAGGAGTTTGGCTCTGATGCTATATATAGTAGGAATTTATTGTAGGCTTCGGAGCAGGTGAATTACAGGACTTCAGTTCCATTTCTTGAATTTATTTTTTTCTGAGAGCTTG